ATCGAGTCCCGCATCGGGCTCCCTGCTCGGCGGGGAGTCTGCTTCTCCCTCTGACCCTCCTCCCTCTCATGCTTTCTGTCTCTCATTCTCTCTGTTTCAAATAAATAAATAAAATCTTTAAAAAATAATAATAATAATAAAAAATACATTATGAGGCAGTACCTGATTTAAAATATGTTATAATAAAATCTGTTTGATAAGTTATGATTATTACCCTATTTAACATGGAAACACTTTTCATAAAGATAAAAATCCAAATGGCCTTTGTAAGTGAATATAAGCACGTCAGAAAAATGTCTTAAATCTAGAAGTGGGATTCCCAATTGCCAGTTTGTGATAGTTTTTGCTAGTCCCCAATAAAATGAGAAATAGATTAGTGGTAATGAGGTTTTATAAATTTTAAATTTATTCAGTTTTAAAAATTCTCCTTCATTTTAGTCTTTTTTTACCTTCTTGTTGATTGTATATTCTTTTATGAAATGATAATTATGGTAAGATGGTACCTTAGGGCGGTTGTTTTTCTTGGCAAAATAAAAGTTAGGAGCCCCATATTGGTTGCCATTTTGAGACTGGTCTGTGAAAGCTAGGAGTAAGGGAACTGTATTTTCATTCCTTTTTAAATGCAATATTTGAAAATGGAAATTAATTATTCATAGTCATTATTCATTGTCTTCATTTCCCCTCTGAAATTTGCTAACAGAAATGACAAGTTTGCTTAAAGTGAAGAGGATCCAAACATATCGTAATCCAGATATTGTATCTGTAGGAAATGTACCTTTGATATAATTGAAAATACTTGGTTCACTTGTTTTTCTTCTTTATTTCCTCTATTTTAGGGCAAACACTGTATCCTCGATGTGTCTGGAAATGCCATAAAGAGATTACAGATTGCACAACTTTACCCAATCTCCATTTTTATTAAACCCAAATCCATGGAAAATATCATGTAAGTATAAATGCCTAAGGCACACGCCTCTAAGTACAAATCCAGTCTCTGTCACTTATTAGATTGGATAGTTTACTTACCTTCCCTGCATCTCAGTTCCCTTATCTGTAAAATGGAGATAGTAATCGTATACTCACTTCATAGGGTTATTGTGAGGATTAAATAAGCATTCTGTGATACTAGCAATCATCATCATCAACATTAATATACTAAAGTGTATAAGGTAATATGTATTAGAATTTTAAGTCTAAGTAGTCACATGTGGCTACTAATTACTGAATGGGAGCAGTGTAGCTCTGGGTAACCACTAAAAGAATAAAATAATGTATAACTACTTACTAATAGAGAGCAAAAATCAAATTTAAATAAAAACTAAAAGAAGAGCTGGGGCGCCTGGGTGGCTCAGTTGGTTAAGCGACTGCCTTCGGCTCAGGTCATGATCCTGGAGTCCCAGGATCGAGTCCCGCATCGGGCTCCCTGCTCGGCAGGGAGTCTGCTTCTCCCTCTGACCCTATCCCCTCTCGTGCTCTCTATCTCATTCTCTCTCTCAAATAAATAAATAAAATCTTTAAAAAAAAAAAAAAACTAAAAGAAGAGCAAATAGAAACATAGAACAGATGGGACCAAAAGGATACAGATAGTAAGATGGTTTAAACGAACCCAAATATTTCATTAACTAAATACTAGACTAAATGGTCTGATTAAAAGACAAGGGTTGTCAGAATAGTTGAAGAAAAAATAAACTAGATGTTGCTTTTGTAGGAGAGGGAAGAATTCTTTTCTCTCTACTAGGTTTTCCCTTGGACCTCTGTAACAAAATACAGATTAACATACAAATTTATTTAATTCAAGTTTTGTGTGACGTGGGAGCATTCATAAGGAAATGAAGACCCCAAAAAACAGTTAAACTTGAACATTTTTATACTAGGTTTGGTGACCAGTGGATAGTCACAGGAAAATATGATAGTACCAAAGAATATAAGCTAAGAGTAGCAATCTAGGGAAACTTAGCAAGGCCTGTTAGTTCAAATTCTTCTCAGTGTCCCTCCATCTTTGGAGATAAGGATGTTTGCTTCCTCCAGATATAGGAATGTCACCTCTCACATGAGGATCTTTGACCTGCCTCAGGAAAGGTCATTCATATACCTGCCATTTTGCAAATTCCTTCAGCTTAAAATATTCAGTATGCCAAAGTGCCATATTTTGGAATAGTGTGTTATGATACCCATCAACTATATGTTGCTTTCGTAAGACACACCTTAAATATTAGGCTATGGAAAAGCTGAAAGTGAGAGTCTAGAAAAAAGATACACTGTACAAACATTAACCAAAAATAAGTTTGTTTATATTGCTATCAAAGTATATCTAAAGGCAAAAAGTTATTACTAGCCATAAAAATGGACATTTCATAAAAATGAAAGAAAGGTTCATTCCATCAGGATGGTATATTTATACATTTGTACTTATAATACAGTCTTAAAATATGTAAAGCATAAATTGATAATTATACAGGAAAAAAAATAATTCCAGAATCACAGTGGGAGAGCTTAACAGATCAGGAAATACTAGAATAAGAAAACAAAAAATCAGTATGGATATGGAACACCAAGTAAAAACCTTACGTAACTAACATATGTAAAAAACACTGCATTCAACATCTGCAAAATTTACATGTTAATTTCAAATGCACATAGAACAATTATCAAAACTAATTATATGCTAAGCCATAAATTTCAGTGATTAATAAAACAAATATTCTCTGATCATGGTGAAATTAAAGTAGAAATCAATAAAAGATCACTAGAAAATTCCCATGTATTTGGAAATTAAGCATTTTACTTCTGGATGGGTCAAAGAAGAAATCACAGCGTAAGTTAATAAATGTTTTGAACTAAATGGTAACAAAATTGTAAGTAAATGAATTTGGAGTATAGTAGCCTTGGTGATGGAAAATCCACAGCCCTAAATATTAGGAAAGAATATAGGAAGTCAAATAAATTTTAGCAGTCTAAGGTCTTGAGAAATTAGAAAAAGACCAGTCAGTGAAACTCAGAAAGTAGAAATACAACGAAAGAGAAAACAAACATGTTAGGATCAACAAAATAAAAAATGTTTTCTTTAAAAATACTGTATACAATTAGATCAAGAAAAGAAAATACAGAAGGCATAAATAATATCAGGAATGAAAATGGGATATCACCGCACATCAGATAGACCTTAAAAAGGTTAACACAGGCAACCCAATAGAAAAGTGAGCAAAGGACTTAGACCGTTCATGAAAGGAGATATCCAAATAGTGAATAAACATATGAGAGGGTACTCAATTAAACATGGAAACACAAGTTAAAACTATAATGTCGGGGCTTCTGGCTGGCTCAGTCAGTAGAGCATGTGACACTTGATCTCAGGGTCGTGACTTCAAGCCCCACTTTGGACGTGAAGCCTACTTAAAAAACAAAAACAAACACAAAAAACCCTAATGTCCAAAAATAGCTAAAATGAAAAAGAAAATATCAGTTGTTAGCAAGGACATGGAACAACTGAAATTCATAACACTGATGGGAGTATAAATTGGTACACCAACACTGGTAAACTGTTTATATAAGTATCTCCTAAAACTGAACCAACACATAACTAAAGATCCAGAAGTCTCATTTCTAGATATGTACTCAACAGAAATGTTTATGTGTATGTTCACCAAAGACATGTACTATATTGCTGACAGAAGTACTGTTCAAAATAACCAAAAAACACTATCCAAATGTCCATCAGTGAATAAATAAATTACGACATACTTACACAATGAAATATTCTACAATAATGAGAATGAGCCATCTCCAACTACACACAAAAGTATAGAAGAATCTCACAAACATAATTTGAGTAAAAAAGAAATCCAGACCTATAAGTATATATAGTCTAGGATCCCTTTATACATATTCTATGATTCCAGTGTAATCATTGCTTACAGAAGTCAAATGGAGGTTACTCTTTAAAGGGTAGGTAGGTGACTGGAATGAGCACACCCAGATTCTGGGGTTACTGGTGTAATGTTCTAGATCTTGATCTAGGTTCTAGATGGTACACAGGTAAGTTTAAGTTGGTTAAAATTCATCCAGCTGTATATTTACGATATTCCTCTTCTATGTTTGAAAGTTATACTTAAAAAAAATTCTTTTTCAGAAAAGCTAAATAATATAAACAAAAGCTAAATAATAAATATAAACAAAATATATAAATATAAATAAATAATATACATAATATATAATATAAATAAATATAAATATAAACAAAAGCTAAATAATACAAATCTTACACAAATTCTTCAACTAAGTTTATGGACATTAATTTAATACCAAAACCTGACTGAGACCTCATAGGAAATGAAAATGGTAAGCCAGTCCTAACACAAATATAGATGCAAAAATCCTTATCAAAATACAAATAAATTGAGGTCAACAATTAATTTTTTTAAATAAGATAAACAACCAAGTTGGGTTTATTCAAGAATGCAAGGTTGGGGGCGCCTGGGTGGCTCAGTTGTTAAGCATCTGCCTTCGGCTCAGGTCATGATCCCGGGGTCCTGGGATAGAGCCCCGTGTCAGGCTCCCTGCTCCATGGGAAGCCTGCTTCTCCCCTGCTTGTGTTCCTTTTCTCACTGTCTCTCTCTCTGTCAAATAAATAAATAAAATCTTTAAAAGAAAAAAGAATGCAAGGTTAAACATGTAAAAATTAATCAGTGGTAGAGCTAGAGAAAAGAAGGAGTAAGAAGCACCAGGAATCCATGTCCCCACCTAGACAATTGGACTTAACAGAATCTGTCAGAAGTAACTACTTTGGAACTCAGGAGTCTGCTTAAGGCTTGCAGCTTCCAGGGGAAGGTTTGAATGGTTAATTTTGGTTAATTTCAGCTTTTAGCCTGATAGCAGCTACCCATCTCCCCACCTTCAGCCCATAGCAAAAATCCTCAACAAAATTCTAGCAAACAGAACTCACCAACATATTAAGAGGATTACACACCATGACCAGGTGGTTTTATTCCTGGAATACAAGGATGGTTTGACATATAAAAATTAATCAACATAATATACTGTATCAACAAAATGAAGGAAAAAACACAAATCATCTCAGTGCAGAAAAAGCTTTTGACAGGGGCACCTGAATGGCTCAGTCCAGTAGAGCATGTGACTCTTGATCTCAGGGTCGTGAGTTTGAGCCTCACATTGGCCATAGAGATTACCTTTTTTAAAAAGGCATTTAACAGCACCCTTTCATGATTTAAAAACACTTAATAAAAAAGGAATAGAAGGAAGCTACTCCAATATGATAAAGCCATGTATGAAAAACACACAGCAAACATCATACTCAAAGGTGAAAGACTGAAAGCTGTTCCTCTAAGATCAGGAACAAGGCAAGGATCCCTGCTTTTACCACTTCTATTCAACACAGGTATTGGAAATACTAGCCAGAGGAATTAGGCAAGAAAAGTAAAAGGTATCCAAATTGGAAGGGAAGAAATAAAATTTGTTTGCAGACGATATGATCTTATCTATAGCAAACCCTAAGGACTGCACGTAAAAACTCTTAGAAGTAATAAATAAATTCAGCAAAGTAGCAGCATATAGAGTCAACAGAAAAATTGCATTTCCATACACGGACAGTGAACAATCTGAAAAGGAATTCCATTTACAATAGCATCAAAAAGAATAAAATACTTAAGAATTAATTTAATCAGGGAGATGAAAGAAAGATTTGTACAGTGAAAACTACAAAGCATGGCTGAAAGAAAATAAAGGAGATAAAATAAATGGAAACACTTTTCATGTTCATGGATTTAGGAGACTTAAGGTTGTTAAAATGTCTGTACTACCCAAAGTGATCTACAAATTCAATGCAATGTTTGTCAAAATCCCAATAATATTTTTTGCAGAAATAGAAAAACCCATACTAAAATTCATATGGAATCTCAAGGGACCCCCAAATAGCCAAAACAATATTTTAAAAGAAAAAAAAACTGGAAGTCTCAGGGTTCCTAATTTCATAATTCACTACAAAGCTACAGTAACCAAAACTGTAGTATTGGCATAAGACAGATATATAAGACCAGTGGAATACAAAACTATAATGAGATATCACCTCACACCTGTCAGAATGGCTAAAATCAAAAACAAAAAACAAGTGTTGCC